GTTTTTAGTGCATGAATCTGAATTGAACAACCTGATAATGCTCACTCTGGTTATTGTTATCTGGTTGCTCACTACGTGCTCTTGCGCGCCGAATCCAATCAATTAAAAATGAAAACTGTTGCCAGCGCGAGAAAAGAAATATCATCGGTTTTATTGATACATGCATACATACGTACGTATTAGCGTTTTATATAATATATATATAGATATATATATATGTGTGTGTGTATATGTGTGTGTGTGTGAGTGTGTGTATATATATCCCATCTTTCCTAGGATGACTGTTTATAAATCAGAGTATGCCTATATGGATAGAAAGCCGTTTATAGACTTTATCCTTCATTCATTCATACTTTCACAATTTTAAAGTCTACACGTATTTCCTGCATTCATCTGTGGTAGCTGTTCATAAACCAGAGCCCATTCCATTCTTAGAAAAAAAATGTAGTAAAAATAAAAATAAACTGTTTATTATACTGGACAATTAAAATTAAAGTTATTTAAAAAAAGCTACAATTTATTTAGAAGTTTACTTAAAAATCTAACTAATCCAGTATGAAAGGTCATGCATCCAAACTATCCCGTCCAGTTGCTTCATGAATATCGTAGTCAGTTTCTACCTTAAAAATAAATCAGAGCTTATTCTTAAAACAGAAATATTAAATAAGAAAAAAATTAATGTTCTAAGTGGTTTAAAATATTTTCAAAATGAAATTGAAGAAATGAACTAGGAAAATGGCTATTAATTAAATCTGTTTTAAATTTATCAGTTTCTTTTAAAAACTCTTTGTAGTTTGAATTGTTTCTGTGAAACCTATTAATCTGATTGGTATAGTGAGCATGAGAATACATAGCAAGAGTAAATTATTATCAGAGTCAAATTAATTATTATTTTTTGATTAGCCGAGTCAAATTAATTGTAATTTGTTGATCAGCAGAGTCAAATTAATTATTATTGTCATTAATTATTATTTATATACTGACTTCTTATTTTATTAGCAAGGCCAAATAAATTATTCCATCGATGTTATGCTGGCTGTCAGGGGTTCTTATATGTATGAGGGTGAATATTTTCAAGGTCAAGTTTCAAAAAGTGATTCCAATAATCCAGGGAGAACCATGATCTACCTAGATGATCTAGTTCAAGTCGGTGGAGCGTATTATCGTTATGCAGGTTCAATTGAGTTTCCTCCGTGCAACGAGAATAAATACTGGTTGGTTATGAAACCAAACAAACAAATATCATCGTCTCAGGTATAAATTCATAATACTAATTAATTTTAATACTTTTTGTCCCACAAAATAGTTTAAAATGATTATTTTAGTTAATGCAACATTGTGATAAATCGCCTTTTCGAACCATTTCTGTTTCACGACCGTGGGTGAAAGCCCTTATATAGCAAGACGGAAAAGAGAAAAACCTGGAAACATTTCATTCCAGCATTTTTTTCGAAAAAAATGAAATATCTGTAACTATCAAGATTTCTTTTATAATTCTGGCATATATATAAAACTGCTTCTTTTCCAAGATAAAGTAGATATTGTTGAAAAATTTAAAAAAAGAATAAGTAAACTCCTCCCCAAAACTAGCTATAAATGAAATGGTTTTACTACCAGCCTTTCCTCTTTTCCGTCTCGCTTTCACCCCTGTTCACGACCCATTAATGACTAACCACCGAATGTGGTCTACATGTGAAAAAAATACATAAATGTTAAAAATTGTAATACATACATGTATATACCGAATAGATACCGAATTGTACGGTGTCAATGGCTGCGGGTTCGAATCCCGCTCTGGGCATGGATTTCTCTCTCTCTCTCTCTCTGTTGTCTTCTGATGTGTGGATGTATGAATGTGGCCCACCCTATGAACGGGTATTTGTGGCAGTGTGGCGTGGGTAATGTTGCTCGAATCAGTGACGTTGGTTCACAGGTGCCCACAGGGTAACGATAAATGAGCAACACTTCCGGCATCTTCTAAGGCGAAGAACGAAAGTTCAATGCCTGGCGTTATTAAAAAAAAAAAATAAAAAAAAAAGATACCAAATTTTTGATGTCTTCTGCTTTAGCCTTAACAAAACAGCACTCTGATTTGAATATATACTTCATATAACTTATGCAATTAAAATTTTATGATAGATAAAACTTCTTATTTCTGCAGAATTAATCTTAAAATTAAATTCTTGTTCCATTTACTTCTTTTTAAAAAATATATACCGTACAGTTAAAGGGACGTTAAAACCTTGAGTTATTCTTGATTAAATCTGACTGTTTCTAGGTGAAGAAGTTTAACTTCAACAACCTCTCCAATCACAGTTATTGGATCTAACCCATTAGAAATTTCCCACCTATTACTGGTGTGAAAAATATGATAAAATGCTAAATTTGTTATGTTAATCACTTAAATTTAAACTGAAAATTCTTATGTTTTCAAGTATGCCTACAGATTCAATTCAGAGAAATAGGGATAAAATGACAAAAATGATAATTCCCAAAATAAATGACAATTCCCATAATTTAAAGTTCATAATTAAACAGACCAAAAATACCAATAAAATATAAAAGTAAGATCACGTGGCGCAAAGGTAGCAAAATGATGATCAATTATTTTAAGCTCTTAAATTTTATTTTTAGAAATAATTCCGCAATTTTCAACTATGTCAACAGTTTCGATATGCATAACGAGCAGTTGCAAAATTTATCTTTTCTTTACAAGCCGCCATTCAAGCGATGCATAGTACTTACGAGTGCCATATTTAGTGCCATTACGAGTGCCATGCCGGCATCTGCGTGACGACGTGCGCGATCAAGTGCCATATTTAGCCGGCTTTAGTGTGATACTGTTTGATAATTGGCCTGATCTGCTTCAAACTTTCATTGATCTTAATTCTATTAAAACAACTAAAAGTATATTTGAATACGTTTAAAATGCTTCGTAAGAGTTGTGGTGGTAGTTTAGGGGATAGAGTGCTTACCTGTCAATGAAGTGACAGGGTTCAAACCCTAGTGATGATTAGTCTATACGAATTCTGCAGCCGACTCGCACCGACCACAGTGGTAACGTAAAATATTCTCAGTGGTAGACGGATCTTGGGTTAGTGTCCCCTAGCCATCAGGCTAACTGTGGAAGGTTTTCATGGATTTCATTCCTATGTAACTCAAAACACGGGTTAGTTTCATCAAAAAGTACTCCACGAAGGCAAATTTCTCCCAATACTTGATTCAAGAGTTCCCTTGTCTTCTAGATGGGGTTCAAAATTACAAAGAAATGGATTTGAACAATGGCAGTTGTGTACCCAAAATTGGACCAGTTGTTCAATTGTGGTTATAAAATAAAAACTTCTTGAATTTTTATTCAAATTATTTGCAAAATCTCCAAATGTATTAATATGTGTAACTTAAATAAGAAAAAGCTCTACAACAGTTTATCGATATGCAATGTGTACACATTGCAGCCCGGTTCAACGGAACGGACTGCCGTAACAAAAGGGTTAATGTGAAAGACTAATTGTAATTCCTTGTGTTTAAATATCTGGACATTAAACGAGATTTCCGCTGATTTTGACTCAATTACGACCGGCCAAAAAAAGTGGTCAGTAAAATTTCTTTTTTTACATATTTGCTTGTATAAAAACAGATATTCATTACTGATAGTTACCTGAAAAATGTGCTTTGACTTCAAATCCAATTTATTAATTATCTTTATTATTAATTATCTATATTTTTAATACATTAGGTCAAACTGAACTATATTGTCTGTGCAAAAAAAAGTCTTATTTTTTAAATCCTTGAGCTATTACTATTTTTTATACTAACAAAAGGAAACTTCGTTTCATAAGGACGCTAGGTTTCTTATTTGTAAAGTATGCGAGTAATTCCTAAAAATGTGTCCTGCGATTTCAAAATAATTATAATGAATTTAAAAGCGTTGTGTGTTTTTAATAAGTTGCCTTAAATTATCTAGTTTTTCAAGTTTTGATAGATAATTTAATTTATTTAACAAAAAGCTGACAGTTTGTTTTTGTGACTTGATCGCATATTTTTATTTTCAGCTTCAACAACTTTACAGTCTTTACCGTGCACGACGCGGTGCTAGCAACCTTGAACTGTGTCACCTCATAAACAATTTCAGACCTATACAACCAACAAATGGTAGACCTGTCTTCGGTTAAAAACCGTGTTTGCAGATGCTACATCAGCGCATTAATTTGGTTACGAAAAGCAATATTAAAGCTGCTACTGTTAACCAATGTCAATTATAATTCGTAAATTAAACAATTGTATTATCGAACTAATAAAATAATAAATATTTTGAAAGTGTCTTATCATTATTTTTCAATACTTGCCTTATAATTTTACCATTTATACCTACCAATAAACATAACCAATTCATAATAAGAAGAAAAGTTTAACATTTTGTGAAGGTTTTTTTATTTCAAATTACGTTTTTTAAATTCAAAAATGAGATATTTAGCTTCAGGAGTCAGTTACCTTATACCATAAGCAATCAAAATGGCCAACTGGTTTTTTTTTTTTTTTTAGTTTTCAGTATTTCAAATTGGATTTTTTAAACCAAACACCTGAGATTTTAGCTTAATAAAAATCTGGTGCTCTACGATGTAGAAAATGACCAATTTTGGTTTCCTTTTCTATACAATTGGGTATTTTAAATCAGATGCATAATAGCCAACATATGCGGTCGTTGAAAATCATTTTACTAATAGATAGAATAGCAGCTTATTATTTAGAAAATTCTCTATTATTGAAACAAAACATCTTGAAAGTGTTAACGCATAAACATTGTAACTTTTGTAATTCCAAATTGCAAAGTGTATTTATTTTAACACTTCAATCATTTGCTCCGACAATTTTCCTCTTAAAACTAATGAACTAATTCCGCTTCTCAAACAAGAATTTAAAATTCAAATTGAACTGACAAAGTTTTTTCCTGATTCAGACAATTGCATTATCGAACGTAAGCTACGGTTCAACGATTCTTAACACTAGGTTTACGGGTCGCGTCATTTTGACGCATTTCGAATTTTACAAGGAAAATTACAAAACCCGTTTGCATTTCTATTTTATCTCTTGTAATGACTTTATTTTACTAATTTTTCTTATTTCTTTAAACAAAAATTACAATATTTATCGAATTATTTTATTACTAGAAATTCCGATAGTAAAAACACAATTTCTAAAGATTAGGTAGTTTTAAAAACTCCTTTTTATATGCAGGCATTGAATTTCAATTTCCAGTTTGTTTTCTATATATTTTCATCACTCACTATTTCAATGAAGTTTGTAACATTTTCATGCATCTTAAAGTTTCATGCATTTTAATTCAAACTGATTACACTTAAAATTAAAATTATATTACTTTGAAAAATTATTACTTTGAATTTTCGATTTCCTTAAAGAGTATTTTAAAATCGTTATTTTTACCTAAAGTACTTGCACTTCTACTCGCTGCTTTTTAAAAGTAACATTCCCCTTGTATGGACCTCAGGCAGTCCTGTCCAGTTAACACGTTGAGCGCCGCGCCAGCCATCGGTGGCTGACACTGGACTTTCCAATTAGGCCGCTTCAGCCACCGGTGACTGACACTGAAATTACATGTAGGTCGCGTCAACCACCGGTGGCTGACACTGAAATTACATTTAGGCTGCGCCTGCCACCGCTTGCTGACACTGACCTTTCACATTGGCCGCGAAAAACAGCTGGATGACAGCGTATAACATGATATAGAACTGTAAAATTTACACTCTTTTATGGAATTTGCAGAAAATTTATTCAAAATGTATTTAATTATTGTGATTCTTGGTTCAGTAAATTCAATTTAGTAGATTTTTATCCACCACTATTTTTAAACAAGTCATAGGTTTATATAATTCAGCACTTTTGTCATTTAAATCATGATAAACCTTCTAAAAATAGCAAAATCCGTCTAATATTTGCAAATTTAGTTTGTAGTTATTTACCTACGCCAGATGGGCAAGTCATGTAAAATTAGCATGTCGTTCAACGTGTTAAAAATCCAAAGCCAGCCACAGCAGCCTTTCTCGGAGCATTAGGAACATAGATTGGGTTTTCATAAAGAATAGTCCAGCCCTTAGTCTTAGATCAGTAGTTCCCAAACTGTGGTACGCGTACCCTCAGGGGCACGGGAATAGTTTAGCGGGGGTGCGCGTTCTTATGCGAAATACCTTGCAACAAATGAAAATTTCAAATAATTTTATTTAAAAACAAAACTAGCCATGAAAATTTACGATTACGTATTTTTCTATTGGCTACTTTTCGCAGAGTTAACAGTTAATAATTAGTGGTGTCAACAGCCAGTTGTGATTTCAACTTTTGTGCAATTTTCTATAGTAAAGGTTTTGTAACAGAGATGATTGCGAGACGGAAAAGAGGAAAAGCTGGTAGTAAAACCTTTACAGTTACAGTTAGTTCTTGGGAGGAGTTTACTTATTCTTTTTTTAAATTATTCAACAATATCTACTTTATTTTAGAAAAGAAGCAGTTTTATATGTATGCTAAAATTATAAAAGAATTGATTGATTGATTGATATGAGTGGAATCTCGGCGTTAAGCGCGAAGCTCTTCTAACCGATTCATCTATACTGCTTTGGCATTTAGTCTAGAGGTCATATACAGTTCAAAGTTCTAAGTTAGGATCAGATAATAAGTCCATGATGAGGTGAGGCATGAGTTGATTCAGTAGTACATCTGTTGTATGGGGAATTCCCCTGAATTAAAGTTGTGAGAAGATGCAGCAAGTCTTGGTCCTTCAGCAAGTCTTTATGTTCACAATTATAAAAGAAATCTTAATAGTTACAGATAATTTATTTTTTTCGAAAAAAATGCTGGGATGAAATGTGTTACCTACCAGTTTTTCCATTTTCCCGTCTTGCTGTGTAAAGGATTACAGCCATGTTTTGTAATAAATTTTACTTATTTTGATTATTTTTATAAAATATAATTTTTATCCCTGTAACTGTTTTCGCAGCAAAATTAATATGATCTTTCTCACTGATGCAAATAAACTTATTAACAAAACTTAGTACCAAAAAATAAAAATAAACATATTTAAAAAAAAATATATTGTTTTTTATTAGTGGTACACAGCGTTGCGAAAAATTAGAAAGGGCACACAAAAGTCATAAGTTTGGGAAACACTGCCTTAGATGACACTGCTTAAAAAAAAAAAAAACTTCAAGGTTAAATGTCAAATTGGTTACAAGTGTCAATGAATGAAAAGTCAGCAGTCCTTGAAGTCTATGGACAACTAAGGCTCATTTTTTGCAATTATATCAGCTTGTTCATTACCTACTATTCAACAGTGCGCAAATACTAATTGGATAGAGATTTTAAATTTGATTAGTTGTAACATTTGCATTTATTCTCTAGCGGCAACTCCTCACTTTGTTCCATAACTCTCGACGTAAGGCTTTTAACGCTTCTGAAGGCCGTGGTAAGTATACTTACCACCACGTTTTACCACTTTTAATTTAGGTTTCCATTTTTCAATAACTTCAGCTCTCTTGAAGGCTCTTTTGAATAAAATTGGTAACCATTTGTCACTTTTAAAAAACGTATAAAAGTTGTAAAATACACAATTCCTTTTGAAGTTTTGAAGCATTTAAGGAATTTATTTTATAAAAAAAGAAAAATAAAAGTCAGTAAGTTCCTAATAGGTCATGTTAAATATATTTACCACCAAAAAAATGGCATTTTTATAAATTAAATCAGTTTTTTAATATCAATTACCGTTCTTAAAACAATTTCAACTCCAAAAATACTTTAATTTACCTTTACTAGAAATAACGGGCCCATTAAAGGGTTAAAATATTAGCAAAGTTATCAAAAATTCTGAAATCTTTAGTTTTTAATTGTCTATCACAATAATATATTTTGCAAAAAGCGTTGTAGTTGACAGCCCATTCAAAGACTTGTTTCGTGCTTTGAATGTAGACCAAAAATGATTGAAACAAAAAAGTAAATAGTGGTGGCGATTTAAATTAAGAATTCTAAAATCTTTAAAATTTATATATATCATTCCTGCCAACTTTTAATTCCCTCCATTATTATTTTTCCCAGTGGTATTAAAATGGAATTAAAACTTCAATTTTAAACAAACAAACACGTTGTATTTGAGAAAACTTAAGTTGACAACCATGATAGTAACGCATTTTAATATATGTGCTTAGTTTTTGTAAGAATAGTGGTGATCAATATCATTTAAAAATTAAGATTATAAAAGANAAAATATAGTATATAATTACTACGACCAAAAATATGAAAATAAAATCTTCCGGAAAATCCGGAAGAGTTGGCAGGTATGATATATATATAAAAAAAATTGAAGTTCAATTAGGTTTAACATGAAAAATGCGGCTGTAATGTCCAGGGCTGAAAGCCCATGTATATCAAGATGGAAAAGTGTAAAAACTGGTAACAAATAAATTTCATTTTTTAGTTTTTTTTCCAGGAATAATAAAAATACATAATTACCAATTGTTTTTAACGAATACAATTTTTATATTGAATTGCTTCCTTGCCGAGAAATAATTAATTACAGTAAATTGTTTATAGCTCTGAATAGATTAACTCCTCCCGAATATTATCTAATATTGAAATGGTTCTCCTACCAGTATTTTCTATTTTCCGTCTCGTTTTCAGGCCTGGTAAAGTCAATTAATTTGTCTTGGTAGTCACTAATATTAGTTCCAAAATACGGAGTTGAGCATTAGTAGTCGTAAACTCATAATTGAGTCTGCTGTTCAACGCCGGTTGTAAAATAAAATGATGTATATTTATCAATCATAATTTTCTTGTTGGAAAATTGTATTTACTCTCTTTGAGAAATTAAGTTTCGAATTAAAACATGGGGGGTCTTCAAAGTTATCTTGACGAATGTTATTTATCAAAACTGACAGCTCCGAGCCCTTATTTTTAATACACTTTTCTTCTCTGAAGTATTATTTTTAAAGGTGCTTTTACTTACAACTTGCGCTGTTACGAATTTTTCTGTTGATTACCAAATTTAAAGCATTGCCTAGTTAAAACTGGTCAGGTGTTCTGTTTTTAGCTATGAGTTAATATGGATGCTTTTTTGGTCACTCTCGATATAAAAACCTTACATTATAACGTCTGTCTTTGAGCGTACTACAGTGATCGTCGTATCGAGCGTCGACTGTGTTATAAATAGGTCAAGTTAGATCTGTGTTTGCATGAATTTCATTATTCTTTTGCAATCAAATGTTTCTTTAATCAATCATTTGATTTTGAAATTATAAACTAAGAAAAGTATATTTCTG